ATCCACCGTGAATCTACGCCGCCGACACCGTCGACGCTATTGCTGGCGTGTATCCGTCAATTGACGGGCGTGGAAAGACTACGTTCGATAGTTCGCTCCATGAATCGATCCAGCGTTGCTGCAAATTTTCGCATGACTAAGCTTTAAGAGTGTCGCTGGGCGTACGGTTCTAACAATGCAGTTTGAGATTTGGTCTTCTCTCACTTCGGGAAAAATAGTAGATCCATTTATATCGCAGAACAAGTTCCAATATGTGTCACATTTGACGTTAACTCTTGAATGACATGATGAAAATGAGTAAATGGCATTACGTAGAGCGAGAATAGATTTATCGCTGTCGTAGGTGACAATTAATTACGTTAAAATCCAGATACATTTAAATTGATACAAGGTGAATAGTTTTTTTAATATGCAGATATATGGATTGCTTTTTCATTTATTGTATGTCTAATTTTATTCGTATTGCATTAAATAGTCATACTCGCAAAGAGTACATAGCCGTATAGTAGCTACGTTAGGAACAGTTTTTTCTAGTGAGTAAGGAGTGACTTCGTCGATATATTCGCCATTAATCGCTATACCAATTAGGAGCATCTTGGCGAGGAAGTAATCCGGAAAAGTTAGAGGTAAACGAGCCGGCGCTCGCAAGCTCTAACGGCGAGACTAATGGCAGAAGTCGAATAATTTGAAATAATGTACGAAACTTGGGCGGGCGATTTGTTCGGCGAGTTTGTAGCCCGTGAAACACTAATTTTTCCTCTACGTGACCATCCGTGCGGCTCGTCCGTACTATAATTCGTTTTAGTAGTCGCGGATCGAGTACCTACGGCGATTTATTATCGCGCGAACGAAAAACTCTTAGCTCCCCGTTGGTTCATTCGACGCGTGATACGCCGGACGATCAGCGAACTCGTTGGAACTAGAAATCTACTCTAAGTACGTGACCGGTGATTTCCGCGATTTATACACCCGCGACTCGTGCATAGTGTTCTCGCGCAAATGCTTGAGCTTTAAAAGGCCGATCGTGTTCGCGAAATCCTCGCGCGCACGCGTCACATGTGTGCAAATGTTTTCATCGTTAAAGCCGTCTGAGTGCCGACACTATTCGAGAGAGGATCGCAAACCGATAAAACTGCACCTGTAGTTTCGATACGCGACTAGCGAAATTGCCATCGCGAAATCTTGACAACGTGCTATTTTGCTGCAGTCGCGCAACTGTAAATCGCCTTTGTAAAGTAAGCCCATTGCAAACCGACGTGAATTCGCAACGCGGCAGCGCGAAACTGATTGCTTTACAATTCTTATAACAAACGTGCCAATTCTCGTACTTCGCGTCTGTTTTTACACGTATCTTAAATCTTGCGTCCTCCTGAGTTGTTTGGACACCGAAATTTGTTTTGCTTTGCGAATCGATACGATATATCAGTTTTCTCCTTTCGAAATCGCAATTGTTATGTCTTTTATATTGTTATAATGTTTCGTGCAAATAAATTTACACAGCATTTATCTGAAAAAGATGTTTCGATGTACTGATCGGTTTCTCAGATAAACAAATGTTAGCAATGCTGGCAGATTGATCAAATTCGATTTGTCAACATTGCCAATACGTTTATTATATTTTTTATCCGATAGAAAACATTTTATATTTTATATTTATTATTGTTGCGTTGTATCCGTAACAGAATAGAGTTGCCTCGGTTTATTATTTCTGCAATTTTGCCACGCATTACTAACGAAGCAAATTTCTAAAACCGTTCTAAAATAGAGTGGACCTCCGACTAACTAGTCGTTCGCGCTTGTATAATATCGAGAGTCCGGGAGCCACGTCATTATTAGTATGCTAACGTAAACATTACTGCCCGTGGCGATGCAGAGTGCTAGCGTAGTCGGCAGCGTAATCCGATACTGTTGTAGGGTATGCCGCAGGTAACTGTGCCAAAACTGGGAAGTCTACTGTAATCACGATTGGCAAGGTAGCAGAAGCGCAGATTGCGCGGTTAGCTGCGTGTAATTAATTTCAGGATGATAAATAATGCGGCTATTTTCATAATTTGCGAAAATTATCTTTTACCTTAATAATTTTTGTTCACTTTCGTTCACCCGATTCGATAAATAAACTCTCGAAAAATCTAGATATCTGGAAAATCGCCCGCGTGCCAAGAAAACCTAGCGTGAAATAAAATATGTATCGACCTCCCTCTCGTTTCTCTCTAGCGTCTAGTTCGTGCTGCAATCCGCCAGCGAATCTATCGACACGATTTATTATCCGCAAAACGAACCTGGCCGGTCGTAACTTTGCCCGCAATCGAATTTCTGGTGGACATTGCTGAACTAATCGATAGCATAAAAATAAGGAGATGAAATCTTCTTTAAACTTTTTATTCAATAATTTGAGAGAGCAAGGAATTGTAACACTTTTATAAGCTTTTGCTTTCTTTACGTAATATTATTAGTTAATTAATTTTTACAGGTACATAATGGAATGTTCAGGATATTATAAAATTCGAGCTCTGTTTTTATAAATTTAATCGTTTTTAACTGTATAGAAAAAGGAATAAATCAAAATTATTTCCTGTATCGTGTTACATTGAAACGCTGAAAATTCCACTGACTCTGACGCGTCATCATCAGCGGATATGTATGTCAAATTGAAATGGTCGGCTGATACTTTAAGCACGTGATCTGTGATACCTTTGAATTATGCTCTCATTCGTTCTCGCGTTTCGTTCTAAGCGCCTCGAGGTAATCGAGCGTCACGCCAGATCGCGTTACAAAAATCGTTTCTCGAGGCGTGAGGATTCCCGCCGTTGACCGGCACTTTATTGGCTCGTCCGTGACGCGAAGACCGCTTCTGGGTCTGACTAATGGCAGTGGCTGACTACTGGCGCGGTTTGACTAGTGGCGATCGAGTTATCTTGTTAGTGGCAATCGATATCGGGTAACTTTGAAGAGAGGAGTTATCCTGTCAAATGATGCCATTTCAGTTCTTGACCCGTTTTCTTCTCTTTTAGTAATTGAAGAAACGACGAAAGAGACACGCTATATTTATGATATTTGAAGAGTAAAATAATTGAAAATCAATATGTGCTATTATTGTATAAAATGTAAAATAAATATTAATTACTAATTTATATATCTGATATAAGAAGAACGAGATTATTGAACGTTTATTGTAATATTCTTTCCTTTAAAAAATACGGTTACATAAAACTATGTTCTTTTCAACGTTAAAGACAATAAGTGAATTTTGATAAAAGTTAAAAGTGCAAATAGATTTTTTCGACATATGGACGATAATACAATGTACGATAATTTCCTGCAAATAATTTAACGTCAAAAGTGAATTACTTATTGTAGTCGTTTTCTCTTCGTCGTCTGTTATGTCTGCAATTTCGAACATCGTTAGAAATACGAAAGGACGCCATTATCTCAAGCAGGCACTTTACTCAGGCATATTTGCCTTGTACGAATAAATAGATGTGCAACAGAAACAAAGAAAAAACACGCTTACTTCCTTAATATTGCCCGGCAACTAGCACGCTGGCGTGCTAATTTTATTACAAATTGAAGCCTTGGAATGGCTTTAAATCGATGCTCCCGATTGTACGAAAAGCATACATTAAATCGATTTGATTCGTCGCGCATTAATAGATAATGCTAAACATAGCTGAAGTCGAGGTTAAAGCTACATTTGACGAGGTGATAAGGTCACGATCGGTCTTAAAAGGTCACGTGATTCTTTTATTTTATAAGTGCAAAGGTGAGAAGTGAGAACTTTCACGCGATTTTGCCGAAAAAGGGTGCGTATAAAACTTTTCCATGGTATTTATTTATTTGGAATATTTACCCGACAACTCTCCGTCGTCTAAGCGTTTCTGCAGAAACGCATGATGGAAAACGTACTAATAATTTTATATGGAGATCCTGAAAATCCTGTACGCCGCGCGTTTGCCGCCATACGGAAATACGAAGCGTCTTGCCCGGAGAAGGAAACAATATTTTTCCTTCTCTGTACCTAATAGGGGGATCTTGCCTGAGCCGTATTATCCTTGTGAAAAATTCACGGTCTCTAAAAGCACGACCATTCGGCTCTTCCGGGCCCTGGTCGATCGTCTTGTATATTCGCCGTGTTCCGTTAGCCCGGAATCCACATTTCCATAAGAGCACTAACGCGAAGCGCCACCACCGTCGCGAGATCACTCGATCGAATCTTTTATCATTCTGCCATCTCCTCGAACGATCTCGCGTGCCTATAGGCGGACCCTTAACGACGTTACAATGCGCCGATCGATGAACATAATTCATGAGAGGCAATGTTCTATAAGCCCCGCGGGCTCTTTCATCTCCTCCTGCTCTACGCGTGCACGTTTCAACATGAACGAGCGTTATGGCCACGTTAATACTTAAATCATGTACGCTCTATAGTCGTTAAAAACGACGCGGAGTACCACGACTGTCATCGCGTTGTTACGAGCAATAATACGAACATACAATATAATCGGCGTTAGAGATACTTCGCGAACATTAATGGGTAGTTAACGGAAAGCGAAATAATATAGGCGACTAATTTATTTTCAGGATATAGAGATCCAATTATTTCAGCAAATATTTGCTGCGTGATTATAAGAAGAATTAAAAGATGAATTGTCTCGTCAAGTATTTGACGGAACTCGTACTAAATTTCAACAAATATTTGAAGCAATGCTGAAAGTTTCGCAATGTGTTATGGAGCTAAAGGAGCTTAAAAAGAATTAAAACTTCTGTAAAGTAAATTAATTTATTCCAAGTGACAATACACACTTTCTACATTATAACACTCGCTTGGTTAAGTTCATGAATAAAAAGGGTTGTTATAATTTATGAAAAAAGTTTTGCGGTCAATATAGCGGGCTATTTTTTGTTTGCACCTCAGTCTTTGAAAAAGTGGGCAAACATTTATCTTGTGCTGACGGTGCAATATGGTGCAGGAAAAATTGACAGGTGTTTTTTTTTTGTTTCCAGGATCTCTGCCTCATAGAGTGTCCGACGTATTCATCGATCTGCTTACAACGCCAATTACGAAGGTACGTAATAGAGATATTACTCTAACCGGTCATTCTTTTGCAGTCGTAAAAAAATTCAGCGCATCATAAGAATATACTCACCGTCGAAGTTTCACGCTTCCTTTGCCGTCTCGCGCCTGCGCCGCATCTTGCCGGCCGCGTAATCTTCGTAAAAATAGAGAAAATAAATTGCTGTAGAGAATGGAAGGACAGATGGGCGCTATCATCGCTCATCATTAAAAATTTTATATTATGAGGTTTATACCGCGTGAGACTTCACGGAAATTACAGCGAACGTGGTGTCTTATCCATAAATATTTTACCACGTTGAATTAGATATTAATCTTTATGCTTCTAGTGTGAATTGTTTTCGGATTCTACAATAATTATAATGATGTGTACTATGGAGCACATAAATAAAATAGATTATGCGCTTCATACATTATTTTAAATCACAAATAAGTAATACATCATGTTGTTTCGATTATTTAAATTATTCTGTCAGGATTTAAAATATTTTATTGGAAATTGTGTGTCACAAACACAGAAAAAATTATTCGACCAGTTTCACAGAGATGTAATTTACAATCGGTACAAATGTACTAAAATAATAATAGAAAGTTCACAACTTTTTCAGAAATGCACGCTGTTTTAGCAATAATATAGCAATTATATCGTGCATTTTGTTATCTGAATATTTTTCATATCATTTTACCATGGTTTATGGTTGCGCTGGTTCATCGTAGCGATAAAACTCGCGGAGAATACGAGGAAAACTGTAACAGTTCGTACGTTTTGTAATAGTATTTATTTACATAAAATATATGTTTATTCAGTCATTTTTTAACGAAAGTTTATATTGAAGTGTTCCAAGCTTGAATTATTTGAATTTGAATTATATTATTTTTGCTGAAAATTTAAAAATGCAATGTCAAAAGTTTATTTATGTTAGATAAATGCGCGGTACAAAATATGTTTGCAGAAAAAAATAACGCTAAGATTTACATATACAGAATGTCACGGACCAATCGTATTATTCATTAATAGCAGATTTCTGAGATTATTTGGAGACAAAATTCTATACCAAAATGTCGAAGTTACAATAATTTTTAAATGCAAAGTCTGAAAGTTGACTAATCAGATTGTCGAAAATTTATGTGCTCAGACATGTCGCATATTGATTTTTATATTCTTATCATATAAAAACCTTAGAAATATGATATTAACGAGTGATACAATTAGTTTGAGACATATTGTATAGTTTTACATTATTTTTAACTCTATTCTCTTAATGAAATTAAATTGAATTGACTTACCGATATGATGTGCAGTAGCCGAGTTGTTCACAAATTGATCTGTAACAATACAAAGTACATCAAAACTATAGCAGCATATAAAATAATTATTTGAGAAATAATTACGCACATTAAACTTTTACTCATCTTTAAATATCTAATAAAAGGGTTATATATTTATATTTAATAACCATAAATATTAAAAATTTTTAATTTTACGAATATTTCAAAGTTTTTATGTGTGTTGCAATACATAATATTTTACGTGCAATATTTTGCAAATAGCAGATAACAAATAAATTATTACTAACCTTAAAGCTACTCTGCCGGCGCCCGATATAGCCCCCTTTTTGAGCTTCCTTTTCCTCTCAATCTTCCTTGCAGTTCTTCCAGCACACACATTTCATTCGCGACGTGAATACGAAAATCGCACAATGTTTTAAACGACACTTTTGACGCGCATTTTGTTATATTAGGAAAAAAGTAAAACTTATAAAATATTATCGCACGGATTACACGCTTGACACTCAGCCACGTCTGTAACAAATAACAACGGAACGAGATCGAAAAACCACGGGAAATAATAAGGATAGTACTATTGTAGAGGAGAATGTATCGATATTACTCCGTACGAGATGCCGCTGTGCGAATAATAAGGGTATAATAATAAATATATCAAGAATAAAGTCGAGTTGTCTTTGATATGTTTATTGCATCTTATTATTCGCACGGCGTATCTCAGACCATTCCATATCGGCGCGTTATTCTTATTATTTCCCGTATTTTCGGTCTCATTTTTTCCGTTGTTATTTTTACGTACGCGGCAGAGTGTCAAACGTGTAATCCGTGCAATGATATTCAGTGCGAGTTTTATTTTTGTTTTAATATAACAAAGTGCGCGCCGGGAGTGTTTTTTAAAATATTGTGCAATTTTTGTACTCGCATCGCAAATGAAATGTATGTGTCTTGATGGACTGCAAGGGAGGTTGAGAAGAGAAGGAAGCTCAGGAAGGGCATTGGGCGTCGGCGGAGCAGCTTTAAGATTAGTAATCATTTATTTGTTATCTATTATTTGCAAAATATTGCATGTAAAATATTATGTAATGTAATATACATAGAAACTTTGAAACATTAAGTAAAAGATTTGTGATTTTTAATATTTCTGATTATTAGATATAAATATATGTATAACTCTTTTATTAGATATTTGCATAAAAAATGAGTAAATATTAATGTGCGTAAGTAATTAAAGTAATTATTTTTCAAATAATTACTTTAAACGCTGCTATAGTTTGGATGTACTTGGATTTTATATGTTATCAACTTGTGAACAACTCCGCTGCTGCGCATCGTACTGGTAAGTTAATTCAATTTGTGTTTTTAATACCATAAAGAAAATAGATTTAAAAATAATGTAAAATATACAAGATGTCTCAGACTAACTGTATCACTTGTTAACAGCAGATTTCTGAGGTTTCTCATAAGGTAAGGATATAAAAATCAATATGCGATGTGCCTAAGTGCATGAATTTTCGACAATCTGATTGATCAACTTTAAACACTTTGCATTTAAAAATGGTCGCATTCCGACATTTTTGTATAAAGAACTTTGTTCCTAAATAATCTCAGAAATTTGCTATTAACGAATAATACGATTAATATGGCACTTCTTGTATACATTTTGTGTTGCATAATTTTTTTTTGTGTTATTATCCGTATTGTGTTATTATTCGTATTGAATTAATTGATTTAAATTATAATTAATTGATATTTTTATTGAATTTTGTGAAAAGACTATTTCTTCTTCTCGATTATTTAAGTGTGATTTTTATTCCATGATTTTATTTACCGCATTCGTATGAGCCACGTCAATTTAGAGGCTGCTTGCATAATTTGAAGCGCCCTCGAAATGATAGCGACATATTTCATTTCGAGTGCGTACTCTTTCTAACACTTCCTCCGCAAATTATTGGTACTTCTCCGGCGCAGTACGTACGTGCAACTGGCTCATGACTTGTGCGTATTTTATCTTGGCATATTAATTAACTCCAGAGCGTCGTCGGGGTTTTTGCACCGGCCAACTTTCGCTGTGCGCAGCATCGTGAAATTCCCTTCCACGATTATAAATGCGCTAAAATGAAACAAATAAAACTTAATTCTGGAGATCCTTTAGAGACGCAATATGGCTGAAGCCGGATAGCGCGCGATTATCTTTTTTTTGTTTCAATATTTATTTAAAGTGTCAGGAAACTGGGATTTGCGTATTAAATATTATTCATTAAAATATGCAATAACCATGCTGTTTTCTGACAATTATATTTCCGTTTCTTGTATAATCGTATTGAAATGCAAATGGTCAATCAGTGCAATAAATTTCTATCAAAGATTCATATTACGTTACTTTTTCTCTATATTGTTTTATTTATGAATAAAAATCAATAAATGTGAATACAAGTAATACTACAATTTCTTTGAAAATGTTTCAATATATTAATAACAAGCTATTCACGGATACAGAAATTTGTATTTGTAGCTTTACATCTTATGCGTTTGTTTCATATTTTTATGACATCAGTTTTTGAATATGTTAAAAAAGAAATGCTTAAAAAGCATGAAGACGAAACGAAATAGAAAACAGGATTGCATTTGAAATACATGTAGCTGTAAAATACTATGCTACAATCTGTTTCCGGCGAAATAAATATGTTTGCCGATTAAACGAATAAAAAGCCACCGATATGATTGTTTCCCATTTGTTGCGTATACCGAACACACAGAAGTATCAAGAAGCGGTTGTCATCTGGCAACCCAATTTGTTGTTTTAACAAAATAAATTGCAAATTCGCGTAACGCGATTTCGTTGCCGAATTGACAGAACTCGCCGCTTCCCGGCGTGAACTGCAGTTCAAATTGAATAATGAATCTCGTTCTGTTTTTTCGTTCCCAGCGTGACACTTCAAGGTTAATTAAAAAGTGCCATTATTTATTTAACTACCACGTAACTGCGCTTATACTTCCGACGCAATTACGTCGCGCGTACGAATAAACCGTCGCGTTGGACACCTGCATTTAAATGTCTTTGACGCTTGAATTTCTACTATTCGCCAGTGGAAAAAGTTTGCATCGGACGCGCCGTAATCGGGACATTCGACAATTTATGTCGATTTTCAATTCGTGACATTCGGTCAATGGTGTTCGATTATACGTGCTTGTAGCAAAGCAAGGAGAGAGAGAGAGAGAGAGAGAGAAAGAGAGAGCACTGAATTTTTTTTTTGACGCTGCGAAACGAAAAAATTCTACTTTTAAACTCCGAGAAGACGGGCTCGGGATAACTCGTTTCACGGCAAGTGGGCAGAGTCTGTAACTTAATACTCCACCCGCGGTTGTCATTGTGCAAAGTAAAGAAATCCGACGTGTACTTAATAAGTTTTCGGTAATAACCAGGGCTCTCGAGTTTCTCTCTTTCTCCGCGGTAGAGACGCTTGACTTGGTCGACTTGCCACATCAGTGCCCTTATTACCCACCTACTTTACTTTACTAAAGCATTCTCTCTCTCTCTCTCTTTCTCTCTTCGCGCTATCGCACTAGAATTAATCTTAATAATTGCCGAGATCCGGGCTCAGTCAATAATTGTCAAGTGGAATTTATTCGGGTATTTTTAAAATGCAAAACAATAGCAAATATCTGATTGTAATGGAATTGTAACGTTTCGAACAATGATTGAAAATCGAGCTCTTAATATTTGCGCGGGTATGCATCGCACAACAAAATCATTCGTGTAAATATTCGTGATATTTGTGTTAAATGCCAGTTTTATAAGAGTCTTTTGGGAAAAGTTATTTGAGTCTCGCGACTCTCACGTGTTTAAAATCTATTTGGTAGAAAATTCACCGGTGAAACCGTACCGCTGAAGCCGCCTTTACGCTGGTTGAATTTTACGTTAGCACGACGCCGGCGAGGGTCGGCGCCGGGGAACAGTGAAATATGAATCTCGGTCGGCGAGCAGTCAACGAAACCGAGATAATCAAACGCCGCTATCTACCATTGCTCTCTGTAAATCCCAGAAGCAATAAAGCTGCGGCAGGGCGACGAGCGTGGCGGGGAAGCGGGGGGCGAGGCGGTATCTTCCGTTTCTCCTTCTCGCGCGGTGGAATGGCTGCCACCGTGCGAGGAGGGAAAGGAGGGGCGTTTTCTCGACGATTTTTTAATTACTCGTTCGCAATCTCGCGTATCCGCCCGACGTAAACGCCATTTCGCGAAAACGGCCGGCAGACAATTGGCAAGAGAGACGAGAGTCTGGTGCGAAGATGCTGTCGGGACGATCCAAGATTTATGTTATCTCCTGAGGACTCGCGGGGGACGCGCAAGCACGTGTCAGGGAAACGGGATTGGCGGAAAAGAGGAGAGGAACGTGAAGGTTGTTCCGGCCGATATATAGAAGAAGGGAGGAGTTCCCTTTTCGGGGCTCTGCGAATTCTCACCTCGCTATTCTCGTAATCCTACCTTCCCGGGAGTCACACATTATCGCGCGCGCGCGCGCGCGCTCGCGTACCCGTGCGCATATAGGTGCATGATAAATGAAATAATGAAACTCGGCGTCTCTCTGGCTCTCTCCGTGCTTCGAGCTCCGCGTAATTAATAGGACGAAATGCGACAAAGTGTTCGTTATGGCAGCGCCGTTTCTAATTTCGCCGTAGTGTAATACACAGTATTAATTTCGCTTGCTTTATTATCCTTACTGCGCGTTTTTACTCTGAAATATGTAATGCAAATTGTACGTTGCGTACATTACGTAATTGGCTGGGACGGGCGGCAAAATCCTATTATTTGTTACATCATATTGTTGATAATCGAAAAAGGATCGAAGCGCTTGTTAGAAGGATGAGCTATTTTAATGATGAATACTAACATTGAAAACATACTTACCAGATTTATAAAGATGAATACTTTCGTGAGAATAAAAATGATAAAAAATGACTTTTTTCTGGCGAATGTTGTTTGAAGTTTCATGTGGAAAATTGGAAATTTCACGAGTAAGGAAAATAAAAAAGCTATTTGTTATAATCACCATTAAGGACAATTAGAAAATCAAAATAACACTCTTAATTCTATAAAGTTCTCCAGGGATCAATAGACATTTCTTAGTTTTTCATATCAACACGTTTATTCTGATTACGTTGAGGTGTGTATATATTTATAGAGAGAGATCTATAATTATTGTAGATACACATAGTATGGTCGTCGCAAGTTTCAATTTTTAACATTCTCGCGTTTCTCTCCGTCGGACTTGCAGGACTCTCGCAAACATTCGAACGCACATATATACACACACATACGCGAACCATGATTTCACAGAAGAATGTACAAACAGACATGCACGCGTTTGCTCATCCAGAAGACTATGTACAATTCAACATAGGTGCGCGATTCGTCAGACTCTTTGTCGCCAGCCTCGTTATTCGCATAGAAAAGATCGAAGTTTTGTCAGCATCAATTAAAGAGTGGAAGTTGAATATCAGTTAAGCACCAAAAAAACAATTATGCAATAAACACACATTTCGAATTCTGAGTTTGTAGAAGCACCGTTTATCAATTTAGTATTTTTAACTGTTGTTCTTGACATTTAATTGGTATTTATCTTCTACCCTTTAATTATTCAATAATTATGACGAAGATTAAAATTGCACAACAAAACATATATCACTACATAAATATCAAATAAACAGAATGTTTAATGATGTGCGAGAGAAACTGAGACGGACGAATGAAAAACGAGCGACGCTCGAATGTGTCTGGAAGTTGGAACGAGAGCAATCCTGTGCAATTATTGTTTATTTCGTATTCCCAAATTTTCGAACATTGTGATACACTTCGATATCCGATAGATATTCAAGAGACCGGCATCAGGGTATCTGTGCTGCGGGGATGAATTACGGATTCCGGGAAGTCGGAATTGTGCGGCGGTTATCGTGGCGGTGATACGCGGGCGTCGATGAATATTCCATTGGAAAAAAGACTTTTGACGCTTTTTAGGGCTTTTGATGCTCTCGGTACAAGCTAATAGATTCGTGCCATGTGAGTCTGCCATGGAGGCGGCCGCGGCGGGAATTGACTTTCAGATTCGATAAGCTGGCGCAGATTTGTAGAGGCTTCTTTTGAAACTGGCACGCGGCACTCGGCTGGTCACCTTTAGCCCCGAGGCTTCTCGCGCGGGTGCATGCACGCCGCAATGCAGGCCTGGTACAAAGTGCAACGGGAGGCTGTAGTAAAACGAATGAGCCCGTCCGAACGAGCGATTTAACGGGCGGTTCTTATTTGTAGAATTTCATGCGAATGGCCCTGCTTTTTCGTGTGCTCCTTTTTCTAACCGCGTCGTTGCTTTGATCGATTGAAAAGCGTGTTTTTAACCGGGACAAAGCTTTGGACAGTGAGTAATTAATTCATTGCAATTCTCGTTTGTAAAAAAATACTTATCTTGTCTTATATCAATTTATAACAGACTCTTATTAATTATATACTCAACGTAATGCAAACTCTGTTATTTGCTACAGAAGAAGAGACTAAAACATTAAAAATTGATATTTAAATCAAAGTATTGTGATATTCTCAAGAATAATAATTAAATATTGTAGCAATGAAATAATTCAGTTTGCTTTTATTCATATTAATTTTATATTAAATTGTAAGTAATTGTTAATATCATATATCTCGTAAAAATTTCAATCGTACGAAAATAATCTGAATATCTTATCAACGTAATGATGTATAACGCGATGCACTTTAAACTACTGAAACGATCAATCGGAAGCATAAGATCGCACCAACACATATCAGGCTCGTAATTGTTCATTTCGCGCGTCATTCCTTGCATGAACGTGAAATCGGTTCGCTTCGCGGAACTCCACGCGGCCATCGTTTCTTTATTACTATCGAAATTTTCACGTCGACGAAACGAGCCGCATTCACACGTACCCGCGGTATTTGACAGGAAACGTGGAATGTATTGTAGCATGCGAAAAGCGAGAATTTAGGGAGGAGGCGCGAGGAGAAACCGGAGCGCGATCGTTAACGGAGCGCGTGCTTAAAATACCTGCGAAACCGGAAGGACTTCGCCAATCGAACTTTTGTATATGTGTATGGATACGCGTCGATGTACATACCGAGTGATCCACTGCACTGCAGCTATTGTTGTGCAACGTGTGTAATACAAGGCAGTATGGAATAGTACGTATGAAGATATCATTTCATCAAGCTGACGCATTGTTACGTTTCAACGTTTAAAATGTTTCTCTAAAAGCGATCTTTTTGTATTTTATGGAGAACAATTTTAACTTGCAAATCTAAAGAACAGTATTATTTAGCCATGATTGCAGGATTTCATTCAAGAACGTAGTAATTGAGTGATGTTATCTTGTTCTTGTTATATATGGCAATATCAAAGATTATATATTATATCAGAATATAATTTACAAGAAAGGGGCATAAAAGAAAAGAACAATAGTTCAGGCAGTATAGTTAGATATCTTTTAAGTCGAGAAGAGAAAATCGATTTTATGTAGGTTCAATTGGAGCACTCGAGGTATAATTTTCTTTTCTTCGTCCACTTCGATCTCGTTCGAGCGCCGGACGTGAAAGAAAAAGAGTCGTTTCATCTCAACCCTTCCATGAATTCTTGAAAATTCTTTATTGCGAAATAACTGCGATATTCTAACTATAATGGAAAGAAAAGAACGCGAGTTTAAATAGCTAAAAATAACTCAGATATAACAATGTCTTTAGATTTGTCTGCGAGCAAGAGGTTTTTCTTCACAAAACCAAAAAAAGTGAGCGTGGAAGGGCTAATTGATTTTTTAACAATACAAAGAAACACAAAGAATAGTGGAAAAAGCGCGCATGCATACATATATATTTTTCTTTTTTTTTTTATTCTTAATCCTCGATTTCGATTGCTGAGCTACCGCACAGTATCGTACATAGTAAAAGATAGATTCACATATTTGCGCTCACACAGCACAGGCACACATTGTGCATACACACATACGCACACGTACTTATATATGTATCTTTATTTCTTTGTCTGACCATTAATTGCAATCCCAATCGTTTAATTATACAGTTCCGCCCTCTCTTTAAATAGGCTTGCCTAATTGGGCGCCCAAGACTTTACGATATACGCGGAGGTATTGTATTACGCACACTCTGAAAAAATATCTCGGCGCTGTACATCGGAGCATATATCTTACAAATTACGAAGGGGCGTACACGAAGGAACGCTCGTCACGTCGGCCTTCTTCGCGTTTTGCCGGCCGACGACGACGATGGTCAATAACGAATTACGTCGTACGTTAATATCGATTAGCCATAGGAAAGACGAATAAAGCACTCGAGTCAAACGATTAACGGGCTCGAATAAAATAAGAAATTCAATGATAGCTCGCACAAAATAATAATCGCAAAATTTGAAGGCGGTTTTGCTGAGAAGAGAGAGAATTTGCGCGTTACGATTATTATCTCTTTCCTTTCTCACGTACTGCTAATGCGATATCGCTCGATACGATTGTTCTGGGTACGTACCTTGTAATGTCGTTAATGGATCCGTCGATAACGATCCTTCGTGCCTGTTCTGTGTCGTCCCTCAAAGAAGACGTAGGGGTTTAACCTCGGGCATCTTCAAATAAAGTCTCTCTTTTTTCGATGTCCTTATGTACAAGGTATTTACACTTTTGTCTCCGCTGCGTATACGCGACGGAAACTGATATATATATATATATATATATATATGTATATATATATATATATAATATATATCTCTAAGATGTACACGCGTGTACATTTGTACGGTGCACAACGTACGGCGACGCGCAAAAGGTACTCCTCGATCGCTCTTCGTTATTTCGACGACGAACTTAATGAAAATGAATGCGACATGGCAGTCGTGTGGGGTTGTGCGCGTTTTGGCAGTCCTAGGACACAGGATTTTGTCCACAAGATTTCGTCGTAAAATAACGCACGTCACGTCAATCTGTTCGTTTAGGGATCGACGGGAAGTGAAGATAAATCGGCCGCTGCACGATGAATTATATCGTGTTTAATGTGTTGCGATTTAATATAAATTAAATTCAAGCCTTCATTATTTTTAAATAATACTTTTCGTATGTTCTCAGGCGCTCTCTTCTCTTTAATTATTTTCACTATGATGCTAGTATTCCTTGTAAGTTTGAATAGCCAGTTTTAATATACACGATCGTAAGTAAACTCGTCTTGCCAACAATATAAAAATCGATAACCAAATAAGAAATAAAATATTCTTTAGAACCGATATCCCCCCAAGCAAGCTCAAATTCCAATTAAGTTGAAAGTAATTGACCAATCACGATGTAATTGACCGTTCGCGGGCCGCTTTTAATTTAGCAGTTCTGCAACGTTATTGTCTCTTTGTTCACGGTTCGAATTACGATCCCGTCGCAAAATATCCTCCGATCGAACTAAACGTAATTACAGATAATTCATAGATGCTCGTCGCTATTGAACGATGCGCAGTGTACAAGGTACGTTTGTTAATTAGAATTAATATACATATTTTCGGAGCGCAGTTAGCTCTCAACGCACATGGTAATTTCGATAATTAGTCTAAATTTATTCCGTGTCCTCATTCTCGAGGAAAAGTTACTATTTACAATGTCTTACGCATATACGAGGATGTATATCAGGTCATCTTGAAAGAACGTTCTTTTCAATTATTGTGAAAATTCGACTTTTCTGAATTTTCCGCGCACTCTGTTTTGCACGTAAACGCGCAAATATTGTTCCGTTCATACATCGTGCATTTAGATAGAGAAAGTCATGTAAATAGACTAGAAAGATGTAACGATAGAAGGACAGAGAACGAGTCTGGACCGCGAGGCAGAAGATCGATAGTTCCGCTTATTTTATAGTCAGCAAATTTACTCTTACCTTACCTTGCAAGTTTCCTTGGTGTGCGGCATACTGTAAATAAGTCGGAGAATAAATGTCGATACTCCGAGATTTAATTAATCAGCTCGTAGCGTGAATAGCTGACATTTTCACTGCAACACGCCACGCCGAACGAAACTAATTATGTGCATACATTCCCTTTTAGAAAGATCGATCAACTGTCGAACACCAGCATTTGACTGATTAATTATTTAATTATTTTCTTGATAATTAAGCCGATATTGCGCGGAGAAAAATTTTATTATCGGGCTTGCATTTTATATCGATATCGAAACGATTGAAAATTGGATGGCCCGTAAAAGTGAGCATTTTTTGATGGCGGAACGAAATTACGCATTAATAGCGAAAGAAGAAAAATGTATTCGACATTGAGAAAATTATTACGTCGGATTTTCGTAACATCCTGTGTTTTATACGGCACGCTTGTTTCGCGTCGTAGCTAGCGCGGAAATATTTTTAGGATTTTCGTGGAATAAGTCGATCTTCTCTCAGCGAGGCGGATCTTTTCCGTTCTCGAAATTTATCGTTGCACTTGGTGCGACGTAATCGACGCGATACTCTAAAAGAGAGAAGGAAAGAGCATATCGCCGATAAAGACGCGCCCATTCTACGAAAATACACTCAACGCGACGATCTTCTTTATCCCCGTACCTACTTTGTAATACAAAGTATACTCTCGGGATAGAAAATCTACATTCGCCGTTGCAAGACACAGGAACATCGATCTCGCCTCTTGCGGTACGAACATCCTCGGAATGCGGAAACCTAGATTTTTGGACATGTTTCTTTCCACTCGACCGGCTATTCCAGTCAATCGATAGGATCTTCCACGACTGAATCTTTGTGGATTTTTAGATAATATTTCTCGAATCGGAACGATCATGTGAGAATGGCCGATATCTATGAATAAATTCGTTTTTCAATCTTATGGCCTCATTCGATAGTCTGTCAGAATAGAAATATCTGTTTTTAATATAAAGTTTTTATATAATTTAAAGTGAATTTCACGAATATGTTTTTCTAGAATACAGAATTTTTTTTTGTAATTTTGGCTTAGATTCAGAATTCAGAACTTCTTTCTGTTAAGTATTTTCTGCATGCTTTTATGATGACTTGCTGAAAATAAAAGCAGTCTTTAAATTCTTTGAAAATTGGCAGCGATTATTCTGATATTTCTCTTAAAAATTTCATATGATATGGTTGTATTGATGTTGCATTACACAGAATTCAAGTCAGCCATATTTTGTATTTCGAACACAATAGAATACCCAAGCAAAGGCATTAAATCTTTGTTGCTGACCGATATCAGAATATTTCGATATGTATTCTTCCAAATTATTTGGCTAGTCCTGAATTTTTAAAACACCAATTGTCTCAGTAAGAGAATTGCGATTCGTACGAATAGATTGTATCTAAAGAGATCTAATTTTTTTTTCATTGCGTATTCTTTGATGCATTCAGTTGTTACCGAAATGTAGTAGTTCGATCATTCTTCTCGTTGTACGACGTCATCTGTGACGATTAGAAGTTTATCCATTTACGAGCACTGTCATCCGGTAAAATCATAGTCATTGTACCAGAGAGAGAGAGAGAGAGAGAGCGAGTGGTCATGTCGCGCGATTATCTCGCGCGTTCGGACGAAACTCACAATTCACATCATTAAATATATCTTTTCCCGAGAATCTGTGGACGTTACTGGGAATGTAACCGTCAGTCCAAGCATCGATAAATCGGCTATGAAGACGCGCACAATCGCCACGAGCCCGCGGCCATATCAGACGTAATACTCGTTGACGTTGAGCGCGTCGGAGTCGCGTCCCTATACGCAACTTTCCTGGGTCGAGATCAGAGGCGTGCGGACAGTGACGACCTCTCTCGCCGGATGATGCTGCTTGCCGCTCATGACGGTGGACACGGTGGAGTCCTGGAGCACGTTTGCCGTCGACAAGGGAGTGGTTGCACACGACGGCGCATTGGAGACGTCCACCTTGGTCGGCCTGGCGTTATGGTCGATGCAGGCGTATACCGTAGCCTCTTTCGTGTACGGTTTGCCACCCACGATCACCCCAAGACCGCTGCCGTAACCCTGAAGACCGCCCAGGCCGCTGCCGAGGCTGGCTAATTTGGCGTCGGTCGCCAGAGTCGACAGAGTGGTGGGCCTCGCCAAGCACAGCTCAGCGTATGTCACCTCGCCGGATAACTGAAAGAAGAAAGTTACGACACGCTACACAAAGACCGTTCGCGCGGGTGCAGTCGAAAGAAGCCGTTGCTGCGAAGAGAATTTTGATGATCACCACATATGTGGTGATTCTCCAAGCTATGACGATGAGTGCTGAAATATTGACCGAATATATACCTATTTATGCTATAGTTATAAATAAATAACAAGATTTTATAATACGAGGACATTAGGTCATTTATAGAAAATTCAACAGTGGGTACGCGATAGAGAGAGGGCACTTTTCTGTCAGTTCGAATCGAATGAGGCTCATTGAATCATTCATTGAATCATAAAACGATCGCGTAGCTTCTACATGAGCCGATTAGCGATTTAGTGCGTGTATTGTTTCTATCGATCCAGGCGATTATGTATTACGCAACAAGTCTGCTCGGATGTCTAATGATACGTGGGGAACAGGAGATTAAGCCAATTTCAATACACACTAGCGCTAAGTTATAGATATGTGTGCACGGGTCCGTAATCCGCCAAAGTAAATGCAACCAGTATACGGAATACACGCGGCCGGCCATTTAAATAATCCCCTGCAACTCGTGAGACGCCCAACTTCAAGATAGGGCCAAAGCATTCCTAAGAAACTGAGAGAGTTTTCGTGGCGCATTTTCCTTAGTCTCAGGACTTAGATAATACGGACAGGTCTAACTTTCGGAATTTTCACTCCTGAATATTCCTAAGAGACCGCCCCGGACTAGCTGGCTCGTATCACGGAAACTTTTGACGGCGAGAGTTCCTTCGACTGTTTAGAGCGGAAACCCTCGAGTGCCCGGCGCCATTTTCTATAAATTGGACGCAAAATAACGCGGAGAATGTTTCCTCGCGATGAAATGTAGACGAAAGGCATGGCGTAGACCAAGTTATTTACGAGAATATACTTATTCATTAAGTTTTATCGCGAAAAGAATTAATAAATGAAGACGCACGAATTATATAAATTTTCCAAGTGTAATCGAGTTCTCGTTTTTATTATATCAGACTTTCTATCGGAATTTTTTTATAGGAATCCATATTTTAACGAGATCTCACGAACACCGAAAATTTTTTACGAATGCTTGAGATTACGAGGCATTTTAAGCTAGTGATCGTAGACACGCCATAGATTATGAAAAAAAAACTGCGAATCCAACAGATGGATCGGAGAAACTGGAAATTGTAAAAAAAGCAACAATTAACCGACGAGGAAATGGAATACGAAAATCCTTAGCGATAATCAAAGTTTTCCACTCTGGAGTTTTGCTCTTACTGAGGTTTTACTAACAGAACTTTAGATCCCCGCGGTAATTAGCAATTAATTTGGTGTGAAATTGAGGGTGAAGTTTTAGCGAATCGTGACGAGAGAAACCGGAGAGACGATCAGAGAAAATTTAAAAGAAGAAACGCGCGAACGGAACGAAAGAAGGACGCATTTTAATTCCGATCGTTTGTTATTGCGAATTATGAACGCAAATTTGCGCGTGCAATTCATCGAGCGTGCCGATCACGAATGACAGCGCAAGATAATCTTACCTTGGAAAAATGATTTTAAAGTATTTTTACGTATTAACATTAGAATTGCTTCGACCTCAAAATGTTTTTCAAAATCGGAAAAAAGGCGCGGACAGTGCAATTTTCTACTTTCAAACTGCTGGAAGCGTTCCTTTCCGGTAGAAACTTTAGCACGGGTGCTGTGCTCTCGGATGGATACTGTTATTTTAAACTACATCGCTGGGAGGACTTTCTTGAAAATGTCGGCCGAAGCTTTTCGCGCAGCTCGACGGAAAACGGGAACGACGCGACAGTACGACAACGGCGCGATTCGGCTAACTGCTTCGTTTCTTCCGTTTCTTTGCACTCCACTTTCTCAGTTTCCCATCTCATTGGAATGAACCTATTAACTTTATTAAAACGTTCCTCGCTCACTGGACTAACGAAATTCTCGTGATTTAAACTATCGACTTTAATTGTTTAAAGTTTCCCTTTGCTGCAAACGTTACGTACTACATTCACTTCCGTCTCATGAAATCAGAACATCCATTTACATGTAATGGCTGTACCAACTATATGGCACTAGTATACATTGAGCGGGACAACAAAGTACAATTTAACATGGAATCTAAAGGGAATCGTTAGTTTGTTGCAGAATTGTCGGAGAATTTTGTATGCGCGGCGATTATTCAAAGCATCTCATATAATGCACTATTCAATTTCTACAGATTATTTACAAGTTTTCACGTAATGAAATTAATTTAAATTAAATTTATTTATTAATGATTGTGTGCGACATGTAGCATTCCGGCCTACAAAGATCATCACGGGATTAATGAAACGAGAGAAGGAGTAAAATCAAAGTTTCGTCAGCCATTCGCTTTTCGTCTCGCGCGCCCGCGCACAGATAAAGTCTGGACAATTACTAAATTTCATTAGGAGAACTTCCATCGCACAGTACTCACCGGCAAGGTAGGATAGTTGTTGTAGTCGTTATGCGAATAAGCGGGAAGTCCTTGTAGGTGATTATTCGTCTGCTGGGCCGGAAGGGACGATGGAAGACCATCCGGTGTGTTTTGCGTTGCCAATGGTGTGCCAGAAGTCGAGCCCGTCAGCTGATAATCTGAATCTTTCGTTTCAAGCACATGAGAAAAAAAATCCACACTTTCCATAATATCAGACAAATATGTTTTATATTGAAAATCATAACATTTCAATTCTGCTAGGTACACCTTGCAAACTGACAATGATTTCAAGATATTTTATCGATACATTTTATTAGAAATTAATAAGACTTCGAAAATTATTTATAAAATTTACTGTATCATTTATTGAAAGAAAATGACGATATAAAGTTTCCTTATATGCTATTATAAACTAGTTTAATCATTAATTTACATCGTGATGACATACTGAACTTTATCATAATAAACTAATAACTACAAAGCATTACGAATGTATCGATACATGGCTTAATTCGCCGAGAAACGGTATGCTAATGCGATATGTTAATTAAATAGTAATTTGTATCTAACTAGATGTAGTTTCGATCGTAATTAAATAATTAATTAAGTAATATTGCGTCCAGAATAATAATATTCATTAAGTTAACATTCCATACGTTCGGATGACAAATTTGTGATCCGAATGTATTTCGCACTTGAAATATATATAAGAAATAAAAAATACTTGATCATCATAAAGGATATAATTGACTTTCTCTAAACGTAAATCGATATTTCGATACTTGTTTTTTTCAAAAACTCTGGAAAAGTGTGTGTTTATAAAAAATTGCGATTTTATATAAAAATATTGCGAATCTTTGATTCAAAATTTTATTGCGAAATTATTATAAAAAAATACACTGGAACGGTTACGATCTGAAATTCACTTATGCGCTATTCGAATAATGTTACGTATTGGATACGTATAAGCGAGTTCAGTGAACAAGTCTCCCTTGTAATCGGCCGAGTAATTTATTAACAAGTCAGAGGTTAAGTTCTATGGTTACGAGCCATATACTCGACCATAACCGCGTTCGCCAGTGTCGATCCGGCGGTATTATTGCGAGCGACGTAATGACGCATAGCATAGCGTTGCGCGATGCTGTTAACAAATCGCGGTGCGTTGTGCTCGCAATAGAGTCCGCTGAATTTCCGGTCTCGAGCACACTTGTTCAAGTGTTCTCGATCGCTGTCAATCAGGTATTACGCTTGAAAGCCAACGGAGGCAATGTAACTGATAAAATTTCCGTGTCAATCATCGAGTCTTCGGAATAGCAACGTTAATTCTGCCATTCTCTTCTTTTTGTTGTGTTGTGTGAATTTAATTTGTTCGAATGCAAATGTTTCTCTTTACGATTTATTATTGTTTTAATCAAATCTTTGTATGCTTGTGTTTGCATAAGGTTCTATTTAAAAATAGAAAATTAATATTCGATGATATGAAACTTAAGAATTGATAGAAGCAATACAGGTCCGTTTTTTATATTTTACAAGTAAAAATGGATCGGATAGATTTGAACGGAACAGAGGGATTAAATGGATAGCAAACTCGTTTCAGTGCGGCCGATCCTTTTAAATTACGAACCAAATTGGAAGCCTGGTATTTTTAAAGTAAATTCGGCTTTGCCGAACGTAGTGAAAAGTGGAGTACAACCAGACACCTCTTTGTTCATGTTATAAGAGTAATTAAATGTCTAGTATTACGCAAGTAAAGAACATTGAAATATTATTCGCGTGAAATTTCGTTATAACATTCTATTGCTCAACATAAAATCAGAAATTTCTCAACGTCATTGTGTTTAGTTCTGTTTTACTATAACGATTTGCACGTTAATAAATTTATGTGCAATTGTTCGGTTTTGACTGAAAGGGAACGTCAGTTATGAATCAAAAGCTTGTAATAAAAATAGGAACATTCTTTCGTGATTGAAGTCTATTCAAAAAACTTTTTGCATTGTCATAGTGGAAGTGCGTTCATTGTATTACGTTTCGTTCTTAATCATAGAATAAAGAGATGTGTTAAAAATTCTTAGGATAAATATGAATATAGCGTGTGTGTTGATCGACATATCACTACACGATGTGCATTATTCGTACCATTGCTAACGACAGCATTGTGTTACAACGCGTGATTTACGCAGCCAAATAATTTTGTGCATTATCCGAATTTTCCCAACCGCGCGCTTCGTGTCGGACGTGTATGGGATATTTCCGGAGTTTTTATTTGCATATTTTCTGCGCGGAAATCGACATACGCATTGAACAACGAAAAACATTAAATATTAACAATTCGATAATAAAAATAGCAAGCGAAATAAATTTGTTCGGCGTGTCGATATGCTCCTTCGAATATATTTAAAATATGTGTGTCCGTTCTTTTTTTTTTATCAGCTCTTTATGTTATCATACCAGGATGGTCTTGGGAACAACATACCTTTGTTGGTCGGTACAACGTCGGGATTTCTATCGTCCGCGTCGTAAAGGTCCTCCGAGCTCGGTGCGGTGGCCTTCTTCAGAGGTAAATCGCCCGGCCTTTGAGCTCGTCTCTCGCTTCTCACTTTCAGCGCGGCCAGAATAGTGACGGTGACGAGCAAAAGTGCGGCGACCACGCCGATCAGACCCCCGAGTAGTGGGGTGAACTCGAAGGGTACCGGAGTACCTGTGAACAAAACGCGCACTGCTCTCATGCAAGTGTGTCGACGCAATTCTTTTCGTGTGGTACATTAAAGAGGTGGAGTTTGAGAATATTCTTTTTCGAAAAATAAATACTACAAATTTAGTTAAAATTGTGACAGTACGATGAAAACTAAGAGTATAATTATTAATGCAACAACGAATGTGTCTCGCGCCTTTTGTATCTATTTGTTACGGCGATATCTTTGTATCCAACACGTTCACGCGGAACGATAAACTAAGTAGCGGTTCACTGCTCCGAAGGAGAGAAGTGCCGGGTACGATTTTACGGACGGATTGCGAGGGTAAACGGGTTAAACGAGTTAAAGTCGCATTACGCCATAAAAAGATTCGAGATATTTGGCCTGCGCGAGAATGGAGCCATCTGACTACCCACCTACCATTTCTAAGATTAATGAATTCGGATCCTTTTGATATCTCTCCACGTTTAAATACCGTCCTGGGCGACGTTTAATTTTCTACGCGGCCGTCTTCCGCCACGTCTTCTCGTATTCGTGCGTGCGCGCGCGTTACTCGCTATCGCTCCACCCGTCCGTTTTTTAATCTCTTTCCTTAGCCCGGACCTTCCTGAGAGACATCGCTCGTAATTGCCACTCGTTTTAGTCACGAGCGACCGAGTGTTTTTACTCCGTGCTCCGATGCACAGCCAAAGTGCACGTTAATTTTTAATCAAGGCGAAAGTGCACCGGGCATCCATGATATTTACCTGTCATCTACCTTTCTTCGCCACCTTTGCCCCTTATCTTATTTTTGTTCTTAGCTGACTTTTAGAAATATCTTTTTGTTCAATGGTTTAAAAAAAAATTTTTTTTTTAATTTTTATTTGATCTTTCTGTTAGAATATTATAAATTATATGATCCGGAAATGTATGTCGAGTATGTCGAGTAAAAATGCAAAATCTCGATTACAAAGTCCAGTGCTTGTAGCAAGTTGAAATAGTAGGATAAATAACGTCAATTTACGAAGAAGTGATTGATTATTTAAGTTTCGAGAACAATAATATTTTTTTCTGTAATAAACAAACGGTTTTGACGGTAATATATGGTGAAAAGGATAACAGAAGCGGTCGCGGCACATCGTTTATCATTGCTTTTTTTAGCAGTGTAACTGACCTGGAAACTTGATTGAATTAAAGCGTCATTTTTATTTGTGACAATCGCTATTTTGTCTATTTGATTTCCTGCCGCGCGTATACATCGCTTTGCAAAATCATACTCAACTAGTTGCAAACGAGAATGTAAATGAAACTGCATACATATCATAACAAATTATGTTTTTTCCTGTATCAAACATTGTTTGTGTTTTCTATAACACGGGACGGTTTTTAATATACACATTCCTACCAGTAATATTTACCGAATCGCGCACGAGTAACAGTGGTTGTAAGCGAGAAGTTTCCGCATCGCGGAAGTTTGCGAACGTAAATGGAATTAAGCTCCCTCTCTCCTCTCACCGCGTCGCGAGTATTTGATCATATCGCGGAAATAGAGCGATCTCTTCATTTTTTTCAGATCGATCAAATTAAAAACCTGAGCGGTTCTGCGTGTTAGTTCGGTCTCCGGTGTATTATTTACATCGTGCAAATTCGCGTGTGGCTGCGCGGATGCACAAAGATTACCGGATCGCGCTGGGATATGCGGGTCGTATATGCGCCACATGTATAATTTGTATTTCACGCCACAGCGTATCGGTGGCACGAAGGACGACGAGCTGAGATTTCAGAAGCACCGTCCTCCTGTCTCGCTTCGGTTAGCATAGCCGCGTGTGCGAGGGTTTGCGGAGCCTTTCTGCGTTTTCGCCGATGCGCTCTCGCCCGACGTAGTAACCGAACGAGGTGCGGGAGCGAGACGGGGCGACGACGACGGTGGTGCACAGGGCGACGTAGGTAGCTGATCCGGGAATTTTATTAAAGTTTCACACTCGTCGAGCTCGCGGCAAGAGGATCGATTTTCGAACCGACTACTCCGCCCGCATACGTATACCGGTTTATATACCTGGTGTATATATACACCAGGTCGCGCGCGCGCGCGGGTGTACTTGCCTGGATCGCACCGTGGAAACTGACCGAGAGAGCAATTTTACTTGTAAATTCGTCCCGAACCGATATATATATATGTATAATATATATATATACATGTACCACACGTACACACATATACGTAGGATATATCCGTTTCTAGGCGGAAGGAGGGGAAAGAGAAAAGGGGAGGAGAAGATCCCGAGTGTCTAGCTAGTTGAGATTCTACCAGCCAGAAATCTACGGGATGAATGTGGCGGGCGAGGGAAGGATTCGGCGAGATCCATCCTCTCGGGCATCTGGACCAGGCTCAACCATGCAGGATTTATCGGTAATTCCGGCAGTAGGCGCGCGATATGCGTTTCTTACGAACATGTAAGTCGTCGTTTCCGCAGCGACCCCATTGTTTCTGTTGCGGAATGTCGCCTAAAGCTTGAGAATTTTCCCGAGAGTCGCACGCGACGAATTTTCACGAGAAAGGGGCGAACGGTTGACTCTGTAAAGTCATATCAATTTTCCGCGGTTTTACGACGTGTAATCGTACGGCGGAGGCTCTATCAACGTATTAAAGTATGCGCTCACAGACGGCTTGTTGGAGCGATTATATCGCTCGCGGGAACGGAAAGTTTCGCGTTACGCTCATAGATCTTTCCTACTTTCGTAATTACAGGTGGACGGCGAGATTAATTCTCGTAATTACTCATGATATACCTGTCTCTGACTACTTGCGCTTTTGCAAATATTACCATCTCCTCGGCAAGATGAAATTTCTCTCTGTCTTTTACCGAATCTCCTTGCCTCGGCGCTAACGGCATCGAATCGGGAAAGTAAACCGGCACCGGCTTAAACGAGCCACGTCGACATATTCGTATTTCGTAGGGCGCTCGGATACGTACTTCGGAAATCTGGCCGTAGCGTTTTACGCACCGTCAGAACCGCCGACAATTTTTGGTCGAAACCGTTTCGTGTAAGTGGATTGGAAAACGTCGGAATAGATTACTATTCTCGTGGGCGGCCGTTCCGTAGAACAATCCGCTGGCACACACGTGACGTGGACGTAACCTGCGTAATATCTATCCAGGTGATCGTACGTATCTGTGTGTGCGCGTGCGCGCACTGTGTATATGTGCCGCCGATTGAATTTCTCGACCCAGATGCTCAATTTTCGCGGTGAAACCTTTCGTATTGTTCGAGTGCTCTTTAGCTACGAGAAACGACGAGGCGGTATATCGAGTTCGACTCGGGGATTCGGGCCGGATGAGCGGATTAAAACGTTACACGGACAATCCGCACAGGTCCGTTCGATTTAATTCGCTAATTCGATTAACCCAGCGTCCTCCGGCTACTCTCATAATTTATGGGGTGGCATTGTACCGATAGCTCGCCTGAACGATCCTATCAAATTACTTATTTCGACGATGCGGATACGATCAATACCCCGAAGCGACCGATTGTCCGATTCGGACATTGCCGATCATTATTAGTCCCGATCGGACATTAATTTTAGAATAGTAATGTTTGTATTCCGTATAGACAAAGATTATTTGTTGGATCATCTTATGATGGTTTGTCAATTTTATGAGTTAACATTTTTGTTGGGTTTTTCTATACATGTACGTGATTTTAATCTATCTTTTCGATTAGCAAACTAATCGCGACAAAATATTTTGGCATAGTTTTCAAGTTATGTTTTCGAAATTCGACGAGGCAAAATATTTCTAGCACAACTTACCGGTCTGCTTCTCGGCGATTTTGAGCGTGAAACCTTCTATCAGTGCAGGATCGCTTCTCCCTTTTGCGTTCACCGCGTACAGGATCATATTCAGAATCTTGCCCGGCTCCAAGCCTTGCACGGTGAAAGCCGCATTCTCTCTGGATGTGATGTTGGCCTGCAGGACCCCCGTGTGCTGATCGAACACTTCAAGGAGGAAGTGTTGAGGTTGACCACCGTCAAAACCAGCGGTGCATTCCACCGAGAGTGATTCGGTGGTCTGGTTGGTCAGCGTGCAGTTGTACGGAGCTTCCGGTTTGCCTGCATGCACCATTAACATTGTTTACAATCTTCCTTCTCGCTCTTCCACTCAATGAAAATTATTTGCGAAATACTGATTTAGCTACAGACGACGTTGTTCCGGCGCAGCATTGCGAAACGCTCGGTATGCACGTTCGTAGAAACGCTACCCGGAACTTTTCCCGGAAATCCTTAGCGACTCTCGACGAAGTCGGACCGGTATACAGCTACGTGCGTACATACCCGCAGGAATGATGTGAAATATGCAGGCATTCTTCTGCTTGCCAGCCGCGTTGGTCGCCCAGCAGAGCACGGTGCCATAGTCCATTTCCGTGACCGGACGGTATGTGAGCACGCTCTGAGTATGTCTGGTCGAATTTTCGAAACGCGCCTTCGGCACATCGACCATCTCTTCGGTATTGTTGAAAGTCCACTGAAAGTTTTGCGGCGCCGGATATGCCTCGACCTTGCATATTACATGGGCGTCCTCGTGTCTCGCCACTCCATAGATGCGTTTTTGATCCGGCACGCAGAGCGGCTTGTCTGAAAGAAGAACAAACACGTGCAACTTTATTAATCGGCACCACCTGCGCGCGATCATTGTGGTTGATTCGCCAGAATCAGAGTTCGAGATTTCAGTGAATATGTTAGAATATGTTTAAATTATCTAGTTATTTTTTACTATCTCTACTTGTCATAATAATACTAATACATTTTCTGTGTTGATATCAATTGTGATTACTTGTAGTTTTGATTTTAATATTTACGGCTCGAAGAAAAATTTTGCTCCTTATATAATATATTTAACCGATAATTAGCAGTTCGTTTATTACGCCGAGAAAATGCTCGGTTGGCAAATAATTTCTCTCCGAGACATACAAATTCGCACTGCTGATAAACACACACAATTAATAACTGATTTTTACGGCGTACACAGCGGCAAAGAGAATTGCGACATGCGATATGCAGATCGCAGCGTAGGAGTTTACGCGCATTTATTAAAAGCGCGAGGAGCGCGGCATGAGGCGGAATGGCCATCGCCCGGCTTTCCGAGAGAAGATCGATGAGCATTATTCGCTCACTCGCTTGAATAGTTTCCCCATTTTTCGCGGCGGAATGGGTAAGCGAAGGTCGAAGAAGGGTATGGGGAAATCGGAGTTTGCCGGTTTGGAATAATTTGTTGGTTCGCTGCAGATAGTCCTATTTCTCTTCCACGCCTTCCGCGCGCCGTCCAGCCCTTTGCCCCTTTCAATGTGTTTTTAATGAATAATCATGCCGACATCTTGATGCCCGACGTTTATTCACGAATAATATCCCCAAAGCCCCATAAGCCCGGCGACCAATTACGGGAGCTATATGGACCGTCGCGATTCTTCGAAAGCCACCTCGGAGGCGTTTAATAACGCCGTTATTTAAATCACTCATCACTCATCGGTTACGTTGCCATGTCGTTTACATCGTATTACGTTGAAATATTTGCGACGTTGAGCACAGCTTTGACGGGCGAAATAATTGCCGGGGATTTCCGCCGGAAAGCGCAGCAATCGAGGTCGACTTTATAAAGGACGAGCGAAGAGACAGAAACGTTATTTTCGGCGAAGAAAGCAGCGATGTTAAATTGAAAATTTGCAAACCGAGGCACTCGGAATAATATCCTTCATACACTATACGCGAGTAACGACATATATTTTTACGATGATACGATAGTGCACGATATACTTACACATGATCTTAAGCTCGACGATGTTACTGAAGCCGTCGCCTTCGACATTGCTGGCGACACAGCTGTAATTTCCGGCCTGGGACCGATTCACCACTCTGAGAACCAAATTGTATTGCTGAACCAGCACGCCATTCTTCGCGTTATTCTGAATCACGTTGCCCTGGAACAATGTGCATTTGCGATTAGATCGAAGCGCTGTCGCTACCTCTCGCAGTACCTTATTAGTTATTATTTTCAATCTGCATAGTAATGTATACTGGTCGGCAACGCTCGTAAATTCGTGACCTTTCTCTGAATAGTAGTTGGATCTTACCTTTAATTAATTGATGATTAACTTTATCGAGATAAAGAAATGCGGAATATAATTACAGTTCACGGAGCGTGGAATGATTTATACCTTTTGTTGTGAAGTAAAATTCACATTCGAGTTGGAAATGGTCCAGCGATAGATGGGTTTCACTCAGGGCAACGGTGGGATTTTACTTAATTAAATGGGATTTTATTAATATCGAGTTAATTAACTGCCACGCCAACGACGTTAGCAAAGTTGAACATTTTGCGTATTTACAAAGCATTTATGGACGTCGCACCATAATATAACATACTATATTAAACAATACATAATGACGTCAGCGTGGAGGTAGAAAGGACGCGAAACGTGAATAGAACGTCGTCGGCAAAAAGCGGAGAGAAGCGACGCGTAATGAGATCTGCGAATAACGTGGATGTAAAAACGGCGTCAGCGAAGCGAAGGAATATTATACCACCATTTTTATTGGTACACTGTGTAGTACACTTGGCTACCATATATTTTCGGAGAAAGCTTTTAAAATATCGAAGATCAAGTTGTACATAACATTATATGCAAAGTTATATACGAACAGAATACTTGCACTGCGCGATACGTGTATTCGGGGCATGGAATTAATTGAAATCAAATTTATCGCGTGTATTTTGTTCAGAAAATTATTACGACAGTCCTAAGTAAATAGTCGCGAAACGGTCAGCGTAATAAACTAATTTTCAGCAGTCTATTAATTCGTAAATGGAAATTTAATTAAGATAAAAGGCGAGTTAATTTTACAGATGCATTTAAGATGATATTAAAGAACACTCACTCTCACGTAATTGTGTTATGTTTGCGTAACCGTGAACACATTACGGTCCGCAAGTTAGGTAATATTAGAGAGGTAGCAGAGGTTTTAGGCGTGTAGAAAGTTAGTTTCCTATTTGTCGGTTTCGACTGCAATAGCCATTATTCTGAACCAACAGTTTTAGGTAGAGTCGGAACTATTCAAGCGTGAATAAATCACTCGAGAAAATCTACAGGTTATTGTTCGAATACCAGCTTGTGCTTTCCCAATTCGGGTTGCGATACATTTTTCTCTGTTAATTCATTCCGTACGAAGTTTCAGACATTGCACAATGTCAGCTTTTATCATATTGCTATTTAGAACACAAAACAATTTTGACTTACATTATGTTTCCATACAACTTTGTAGGCATCCGGATTCGCGTTGACATTGCACTCGAAATATACATCATCGCCCTCCTCGATGTCATCCGGATTCATATTCGAGCCGAGCTGCAGGGTCAATATAGGGATAACTGTAACCAGAAAATATTCGTTATTGGTCTACAAATCTTCTTCGAATCAACATTTCAACAGCGAATACGTCTTTAAGGTAAGAATTGTATAATATGTGTTACATTGATTAGAGGCAAAATATATTGAAATAATCGGTTGTCTATGTGTCTGTAATCTGTAAAAGATTATTTATTGTGGAAGCAAAGGCGTATAATAATAAAATCTGCTCGAGTGATTATCTAAGAATTGATGAGAAATTACGTAGAAAAGCTAGGCAAATTCAATTTTTCAAAAAGTTTAAAAAATAAAGCATCTACGAAAATAAAAACGCACATAAAAATTAAATTTATTTACATCGATTAAAAGTTTTTTTTTTTTTATTGTAACATTATTCCTATCAATTTAAATATTCAAATTTATGGAATTGATTTTTTTTTTTCGACGAATAATATGGTTCATATTAAAAATATAATTTCATCATTTTTCGGGGGTAGTTTAATTC